TAATTATGTTTCTCAAAATTCAAATGATTCTAATAATACTCTCACAAATTACTTGGACACTCAAATCAATGAGGAGGTAAATTTGTTTCATTCTGCTAATAATAACTCTACTGCTAATGATTCTTCTAGTTTGTTGAACACAGAAACTTCTCAGGTTCATGACAACATTTCTGAACAAAATACTCAAAGAAAATCCACTAGAGTAAGATCCATTCCTATTCATTTGAGAGATTTTGCTGATGAACTACCTAATTCTATCATTCCAGGTAATCCTGAATCTTCTTGTAATATGGTTAGATATCCTATTCAAAATTACATTTCTTATAACAAATTAAATCTTTCTCATCACTATTTCATTGCATCTCTTTCTAAGATCTCAGAACCAAAAACTTACAAACAATCTATTAAATTTTCAGAATGGCAAACTACTACTATGAATGATGAAATTAAAGCCCTTGAGAATAATAATACTTGGATTCTTGTTGATCTTCCTGCTAACCAACATACTATTGGTTGCAAATGGGTTTTTAAAACAAAACTAAAATCTGATGGATCTCTTGATAGATATAAAGCTAGACTTGTAGCAAAAGGTTACACTCAAGAAGAAGGCCTTGATCGTTTTGATACTTTCTCTCCAGTTGTAAAGTTAACAACTGTAAGAATTCTTTTAGCTATTGCAAGCTCTAAAAACTGGTACTTACATCAATTAGATGTAAATAATGCTTTTTTACATGGTGATTTGAATGAAAATATTTATATGCAACCCCCTCCTGGTTATTTACCAAGTAATGATACTAGAGTTTGTAAACTTCTTAAAAGCTTATATGGTTTAAAACAAGCATCTAGACAATGGTATTTTAAACTTTCCGAATCTTTAAAATCCTTTGGTTATAAACAATCTCAGACATATTTCTCTCTTTTCACTAAAGTTACTAAAACCTCCTTTACTGCAATATTACTTTATGTTGATGATCTTATTCTTGCTGGAAATGACATGAATGAAATTAATGCTGTTAAATCTTTTCTAAATCTTAAATTTACTATTAAAGATCTTGGTGAATTGAAATACATTTTGGGAATAGAAATTGCTAGATCAAAAATTGGTATTGTCTTAAATCAAAGAAAATATACTCTTGATATTCTTTCTGATTTTGGGTATCTTTCATCCAAACCTTTTTCTACACCTATGGATTCAAAAATTAAACTCTCAAAAAATGGTTGCACTGTTTTAAGTGATCCTAAAACCTATAGGACTTTAATTGGCAGATTGCTATACCTTACTGTAACTAGACCTGATATAGCTTATTCTATCCAAACACTTAGTCAGTTTTTATCTTCTCCTACTGACATTCATATGGCTGCAGCTCATAGAGTACTTAGATATCTTAAAAGCTCTCCAGGTAAAGGACTTTTTTATTCCCCCAATTCTTCTTTTACTATTCAAGCCTATACTGATTCTGATTGGGGATCCTGTGTTGATACTAGGAGAAGTATTTATGGTTACTGTTTTTATCTCGGGGACTCTTTAGTTTCTTGGAAATCCAAGAAACAATCTGTTATCAGTAGGTCCTCTACTGAAGCAGAATATAGGGCAGCCGCAAATGCAGTCTGTGAAGCCCAATGGCTTGTTTATATTCTTCAAGATTTACATATCCATAATTCATTACCTATTACATTATATACTGATAACAAATCTACATATCATTTAGCATATAATCCAATACAACATCAAAGAACTAAACACATAGAATTGGATTGTCATTTAATAAGGGAAAAGATTAATTCTAGACTCATAAATCTTACTCATATCCCTAATATTTATCAACTCGCAGATATCTACACAAAACCACTTGGAAATCCTCTCTTCAAGCAGTTTGCAGACAAGATGAACATGCTGGACATTCATGCTCATCTTGAGGGGGCATCTCAAGAATAAAGAATTGGGCTTATTCATTTTGGACTTAAATTGTATTGGACTGTTTATATTATTTTAGCCTGATAGCCCTTTAGTATAAATAGCCTAGATTAATCTACTGTAAACATACGGTTCATTCTCCTTCTTCCTTATTCAACAACTTCCGCATTCTTCCTTCAAGATATTCTGTAATTGCTTAAGTTTTCACATCCTGCTTTAGAAAAATATGTTTATACTTCCTATATAATTTACATTTTAATGCATGAGTACGCTCCAACTATATAATTAATTAAAAGGGGTCTGTGTACTATACGTACAAGAATTAGAAGGGTAAGACATCGATTATAATCAATCTAAAGTGTGAATATAAATTATAAAAGCATAGTGCATGGAGCAAATTGATAATGGGTGTATGGGCAGACTAAGTAAAATTGTCAAACACCCGCCCAACACAATCATTGATAATTGTTGACCAATTAATTTGTTACGTCGTATTGGGACAGGGGCTCTCAAATGTCTAGTCTCATTCTTGAATTAAATGATGTTATTGATTTATATCGAGTAATATCTAATAAATGATTATATTAACTAATTTACTAATACGAGAGAATAAAATACGAGAGAATAAAATATGTTTGATCCTATTTTAAAACTTTATCTATGTTTTAGTTTTATATAGAGTATAGCTTGAACAATTTCGGGAGAAAGTGCATATTCACCACTATGGTCCGGATCAAGAAGCACATTACACATTAAAGTTATTTGAGATAATTCCCTAACTAGGACTAAAACTTATTAAGAGTGCACCAATGGGACTTCCAATGTTCCTTTACTTCCGTAGGACTTAAAAGAGATGAGTTGACATCAATACCCTTAATGAATAAAGAAGCTACGGTTCTCAGTGCACATCTTTGATGCCACCTCCACCACCGCCACCACCGTAGGCGTTGTCACCACCACCGCTGCCACCACTACCATCATCATCGCCGACGCCGGCGTAAGCGCCGCTGCCACCACAGGTGCCGGTAGCCTCTAAATCTCTGACCTCATCCACCCTTGCCGGTGGCCGCCGCCATCTCCGGCGTCATCGCCGCCACATCTGACGATATCGCCACCTCATCCAACACCAGTGTGACTCATCTGCGTGAACAGTGCGAACTCTGACACCGACGCCAACACCGCCTTCATTGAGTCAACCATTGTAGATCTTAGATCTAAATCCAGATCGATCTGGTGTGACAATTACTCAAGTGTCACCTTGTTGTTGAAATGCCATCTGAGTGTTATTAGTGCCATCATGACATAAATGAGATGCCATTTTCGTATTTAAGAATATGGCACTAATGTCTTTTCGAAAGTGTAATATTGCCATATTTGAAACATTAATGCCATAAAAATGGCATTTTGGAAGTGAAAATTTCAAATTCAAAGCAGTACAATTATAGAGGTATTCTCATAAAAATGACATATTTCTGAAATCAATTTTCCAATATATGGGTTTTAGGGGGGGAAATAATTTTAATTATGCCATTTTTAAATTTATAAATAATAAAAATAAGCAATCGAAAATCAAATTAAATATAAAAATCTCGAATTAAATAAAAAAATTGACAACTAATGAAAATAGAGATGATGGAAGGAGGAGTAGTAGAAGAAGAAGGAGAAGAAGAAGAAGAAGAAGAAGAAGAAGAGGAAGAGGAAGAGGAAGCCGAAGTGGTGGATGCCTCCGCCCGCTGCCGCTTGCCACCGCTCGCCGCCACTCACCTCCTCTCGCCACCGCTCGCCAGCCACTGGTGGCCAAAAATGGAGAGAAATTTCTCACCCAAACATCTAAAATTTGTCAGAGATGAGAGATATCGAGATCGGAAAAATAAAATTAAAGTTATTAAGGAAGAAAAGAGAACAATAGAAAAGAAAAGAAGTTGGATTTACATGGAATGATGTTAGCTACAGAGAGGAGATGGGTGATCGAGGACTGAGTAGGAAAGAAAAGTTTGATCAATACATAAAAAAAAGGTTGGGGGGGAGAGGATATAATAGGAACACTAACTAAATTAGTCATATTTAGGAAATAAATTAGGAAGTAGTCATATTTAGGAACTTATCTATTATTTTAGTCCTATTTAGGGCAAATACTTAAGTTATTTTTGAAACAAAAAGGTCAAAATTAAATCTTTTGAGGGCATATCGCCCACCAACTCACGGATGTACTCCGTTTTATACATGCATCAACTTCTTTAATTAATTTGCTAGTTTGATTTATCAATATGAAATTGATTTTAATTTAAATAACAAATTAAACCTAAGGATCATTCCACAAAATGAATAATTACTCAATGAGCTTTAATGCTCGCGCTCGTATGGCGGCATTATTGTTCCTTATTATGTCTTTACTCTCTAGTACTTTGTAGTTTGTAGTATATATCGTATATGATAGTTTAGTTTTTAATTTCAGGGCGAATGAAAATTGAGTGCGATATCTCCTCATGTAGTTGGTTAATACCCGAGTATTTTTCTAAAGAAAAGAAGAATTTAGTTGTCAATATTAAAAGTAGTAAATATTGATGTTAAAAGATTCTTTTTGTAATATTATGACAAAGCACAACAAGTACCTACCGTTTCAATTTTAATTTGTCATCCCTCCAATTTAATTTATTGTACTATTGATCTTTGCTACCCCGTTCTCATATCCTTCCTCAAAGTAAGCCAAATAATGTAACACAAATTAAAGCCAAGGTTAATATGATTATAATTCTCAAGGCAATTTGGCAATTAAACAATGCAACACTATACATATATCATGACTACTCTTTTCATCACACTTGGTCTAACTACAAAGTCAATATGGTCATAATAGAAAAGATTAAGAAAAGAGAGAAAATATTTGTCAAAAATATAGACAACGTGCATATATTGTAGGACTTTCACTGTTCTCCTAAAATATGACTTATTCACTAGCTACTAATACACTGGGAAGCTTTAAAATTTTAGTAAGATCAAATAAGTCATTTTTTAGAAATAAAAGGACTATAAAGCATACAAACAAATTTATTGTAATGTGTAGTGAATATACAAGAACATTCAACCCACATGTAATGGAAACAAAACAATTGAATGAAGCATGACAAAAATGTTTCATTACCATTTCTGTTACATAAATATTACATCACTTTGCCATTGAATTCAATATATAATGCTAGCTTCTTGAATACGATCGGACTATATATATATATATATGTATATATTTTATTTAAATCATTAAATCAAATTCTTGCTCTAGGGAGAATAACTGCTTTCAACGGATTCTTCATCACAACGGTGAAAGCAAATGTCTCTGTCGGGTCGGGCGGGCTACCCGGGACCGGGACCCATTTGAATGCTTGGACCATCTTAGCCAGCATCATGTTAACGTGCAACGTACCCAACGACCACGCCGGACAGATCCGCCTACCCGCCCCAAAAGGCAACATCTTCACCCCCCTCATTCCGGTGATGTCCACGTCGACGCCGTCGCCGTCCAAGAACCTCTCCGGCCGGAACTCGCCCGGATCTTTCCACACACTCGGGTCCTCCGTCAACCATGCGGTGTAGAATTCCACGTAAGCGTCGGAAGGGACCGTGTAGCCTCCGAGCTGAGTGTCCTTCGTGGCGGCGTGTGATAGGACGAAGTGGCTCGGAGGGTGTCGCCGGAAAGTCTCTTTGACGATGGCGGTGAGATAGGGCATTTTTTCCACGTCTTCCTCTGTGATAACCCCGGTTTCCCCGACCAAGTCAACGATTTCTCGGTAAAGCTTTTCTTGGATGGTTTGGTCCATTACAAGATGAAGCAAAGCCCATTCTAACGCGGTGGCGCTCGTGTCGGTCCCGGCACTGATCGTTTCCGAGACGAGCGTCACTATTTCCTCCTCTCCGAGTTTCCGGCCCGACGGTTCGAGCCGGAACAAGGAGTCTATATAAGCTGCCCCGACCGGGCTCACCATTTCCGGGTTATTACAATCCGGCCCTTTCTCCACAAACTCCCTCCTTGCTCTCACCAAAGGAATCAAGCACTCGAGCTGAGTCTTCCTCAGCTCCTTCGCCCGCTTCACCTGACGCCGGAACAGCGGTGTCAGCATCGGCAAGAAGTCCGGCAACTGCGGCGCCGTGACGAGCATCACGTCTTTGAGAATATTCTCTATCTTCTTGATCCTTTCCTCCGAGATTTTCGCTCCAAAACAGAGACATATAAGGATGCTACAAATGCTGAGCCGGCAGTTGGCCATAACCTCGACGAACCCGTTTCTAGAAGCTTCACTCCTCAGCCTCTCCATGTGATTCTCCATGGCCCACTTACGTATCCAGCTGCACTGCTTGATTCTTGTAGGGTTTATGAGCTCCGTCACGAAGTTCCGGCGGAGGGCCCGCCACAGCGGGCCGTACGCGGCGGAGTTGATGGCGCATTTCCCCATGCTGAAGATGAGCCGGATGGGGGAATCCGCCGGGCGGCTGGCGAAGACAGGGCCTTGCTGGACTAGGGCTTCATGGATGAGCTCGGAGCTGGTGATGATAATAAGAGTTCTTTGTCCCATTTGCATGGTAAAAATGGGACCGTACTGTTTACGTAAATCACGTACTACGTAGATGAAGGGTCGGCGTTGGAGAACAACCTGGAACAGATTCCCGACCAGCGGCCAGCCGGGTGGGCCCGGGGGCAGGTTCTTCCGACCGCCGCCGGTGACGGACCAGTAACGCCACCACAGGCATATGAACACGGCGGCTAGCAAAAGTATGACGCCGTCCGTCAACTCCATATACCTATATATATTAGTACGTATATATGTATAGTATAAAAAATAGTGATACAAAGTTATGGGAAAAAAGGGACAATGGCCAATGGGTCTTGAGTTTCTTTAGGTTTAGGGATATATATATATATATATTGGGCAAGCCAATGGGGTAGATTGGGTTTTAAAGCTGAGACGGGAAAGGAAGGAGTAAATGAGGCTTATCTACCAGCCACTACAAAGTTGTACTGACTTTTTCTCGTGTCCCATTTGTATCATGAATGAAAGCATTTATTGTTAATACTGATGCATCTTCAAAACAATACACAATGGTTGAATTGCATTTATAATCGACGATTACGGAAATTGCTATTTACGCGTAGTTATTATAGTTACTGTACCGGTAATCTGAGAAGGATTCAAGTAATTCAAGTAATATACAGATAATAAAAGATTGTATATATAGGGGTTATTAAAATTGGGTCTAATAATTGAGTCTAATTCTCTCTCAATTAATCTAATTAATTACAAAAACTCATTAAACAAAATACAATTAATTTGAACACAATAAAAAAATATTCTAACACACATCGTCGGGCTATGTCATTGTTCTGTGACAACAAATCCGCACTTCATATTGCTCAAAATCTCGTCTTTCATGAACACATCGAAATCGATTTTCATTATGTTCGGGACGTCATTCAAGAGGGGTTGATTGCTACAACACATGTTTCGACTACCGAACAACTAGTTGATATATTTACGAAGGCTTTGAGGAAGCGTCAATTCCTCTATCTTCTTCGCAAGTTGGGCATTTACAATCCGCATGCTCCAACTTGAGGGGGTGTTAAGAACGGTTGGGCCTTTGTAATTAGTGTAATTAGTTATAGCAATTGTTATTAATGTATGATTAATGGGCTGAGGCCTTATTTTAGAATAGGGTTGTACAAAACCTTGTATAAATATTTCATATCGGCAATGAAGTAAGGTAAGGGGGAATTCTACCCAAATTAACGCACACATGATAGGTGTGAGTGTACACCAAAATATGTATACACGTCCTACTAGTATAGTCCTTTAATTTGTACTACAATTGTGATTAGATAAGCATAATAGGGTAGAAGCCTAGAAGAGTTCAAGGAATTTAAGGATAAACGTATATCTATCAAATGTATCATCATGATAAATCATAATAGATGATAAAGTTGCAGACACCACTCGAGTTATATCTACACACCGATGTTCTTCTCCATTATCTTTTAGTCAAAAGGTGAATTATGTCAAGATCCTAGTGCAGAATTAAATTTCTCCACTATACTCCATCTTGATATATACACTTTTGGTTGGCAACTTTGGACTTTTTCCACGATTATGCGTTCTAAACTCTATTTTATTTATTAATGTATTATAAATTAAATTTAGAAAAATTATTGTTAAATTTCTCACATTTTAAATTTTCAAAATCTGTTTTTTATTTTATTTTTTATTTACTAATAAGGAATTAATGATATTAATGATAAAACTTGTGCGTTGCCAAACGTGAAAAGTGGATTGTTGCATTTGAGTTGCTTTTGTGTTGAATTTTTTGATGAACTTTATTGACCACGTTCTCCATGAAGAGTAGATTATGTCCATCAAATTTTAGATTAAAATTCAATCGAGAAGTTAGTTAAATAATTTTTTGAAATTTGCGCAGTTTTTAGGCCTAAAAATGCAGTTTTTTCATTAATTTATTTAACTAACTTCCCGATTGAATTTTAATCTAAATTTTGGTGTACACAACCTACACTTTATGGAGAACATGCTCACAAAATTTCATAAAACAATTCAACTCCGAATTGAAGCACCTCACATGAAAGAGGCCTAAGAATTGCAACTTTTAAGCCTACTTAATTACATGAACATTATTACCATATACCTGTATATACTACCTCTGTCCCGAAATGAAGTTCTCATTCACTATTCACTTGGTCAACTTAAATCACTCTTAATATTTTACTTTATATATCATTTTTTTATCGAATATAAAATTTCTTGACCAGACTTTGTAGTGATTTTAACGTAGTTTCTCAATATGTAAATTTTATTTACTAAAAATATTCTGAGTATGAACATGGATCGAGTTGCTTTATCTTCAGTCAAGCACCGTAAACCGAAACAGAAACTTCTTTACGGGACGGAGGAAATATATGTGCGCGCGCTGAATCACCAGCCTCCCTTTTGTGCTGGTTGTTCTAGCGAGGAGCGGTTCCAAAATAAAATTCTTGAGATCCTTATCCAAATATAACTCTTATTTATTTATAAAAGGCTAAAGGGTCAAATAAGTACATGAACTAACTTAAATTGTTCAATCAACCCTTATATAGAAGGTTCTGCTCGGCCGTCGCCGATTGGGGTGGTTCCCGATGAAATTTTTTGATTAATTTTTTTGAGCATCTTTTTCATTAAGTCTATTAGCCATACCAAATTTCAGCTAAAAATTCAACCGGGAAGACAATCAAATGATTTTTTGAAGATAACAGCGCGGTTAAACAGCGCAGTACATTTCAGAAAATCATTTGACGTCCTTCCAGATTTAATTTTTAGCTGAAATTTGATATGGGTAAACTAGACTTAATGAAGAAGATGCTCAAAATATTTCATCAAAAAATTCCATCAGGAACCGCCCCAATTTGCAACGACCGGACAAAACATCCTAAATAAGGGGCTAATTGAACACTTTAAGTTAGTTCATATACCTACTTGACCCTTTAACCTTTATAAAATGGTTTGACTCTTTCATTTTATTTATCTAACTCTTTCATTTGTGTTCAGAATTTCAAAAAAAAAAAATCAACTTAATAAAAAACTATGCCATTTCATTTGACACTAATTGTTCATACGTGAAATTTTGAATTTAATTTATTTATTTTGGTAGGGTCTATTTAAGCCTGATTGGTGGAGTACTTGTATGTTACTATTGTATGTTAAAATCTGCACTGATCTGCTCTACTTTATTTATGTTTTGTCTAACCTTTAATTTGACTGAAATGATTGGCCCCTCCACTTTTAAAATAAGTCAAAGAAAAATAAAAGTTGAAAACCACTACAAAAAAAACTCGCGTTTTGTCACGGATTTTTGTCACGGATTACGGCCGTGACAAAGTTGTCACGGGCTTTGTCACGGAAAATTGGGATTTGTCACGAATACGTTTTGTCCCGGATACGTCCATGACAAAATCCGTGACAACCCTTTGTCACGGATATGATCCGTGACATATTTACTCCGGTAACCGGTTTTTTACTCCGACCAAAATATTTTTTGCTCCCGGGCATTTGTCACGGCCAAATCCGTGACAAATCCGTGACAAAAAAAGGTTTGTCACGGATCCGTCCGTGACAAAATCCGTGACAAACCTCAATTATTGATTTTCCCGCGATAACCTTTAATAATACAGTATGAAAAAGGGGTTGTCACGGATAAATGCGTGACAACTCCGTGACAAAGTTTTTTATATATCCCAACACCATCGCCCATTAGAATTCCAACAACAACACTTATCAGTTCAAAAATTCATAGATTCGAGTGATGTAGTATCAGTTTAAAGATTGAATGATGTAATCTGTCAGTTCATCATTTTTCCTGTTTATGCAGATAAGGTATGTCATTTTAACTAATTTCTTTTAATTATGTAATAAATTATTAGATTAGTGAGGTTAGTTGTTCATTTATTTAAACTATTAACGTAATTTTAACGTAATTTAGTGAGGTCATGTTAATTTTCATATTATTAACAATATATTAAACTATTAACGTAATTTAGTTAAATTTAAATATTAGTTAAATATAAATATTAATTTGTTAATTGAAATTAGTTTATATCACCAATTAGGCCGATTTGTTTAGTTTATTAGCAATTATTGTTATTAATGCATAATTTAGTATTTGTAGTGATGATTTAAGTTAGCTAGCTTATTATAGCTTAGTGACTTGTAGTGATTTAAGTTAGCTAGCTTAGGTTATTATCACCAATTATTGTTTATTAGCAATTATTGTTAATGCATAATATAGGATTGAAACTTTATTAATTAGTTTAGTGTGAATTATTATTGTGAATTAATGAGATAATATTTAACAATAATATTAGTTAAATGTAAATTAATTAACTAAGTTAAAACATTGAACTTTAGTGAAATGGGTTTAGAATTTGAGTTGATAATATTAGTTAGATTTAAATATTAGTTAATTGAAATGGGTTTATAACTAATGATGATTAGGTTTGTTTATTAGCAATAATTATTGTTAATGCATAATTTAGGATTTGTAGTGATTTAAGTTAGGATTCAAACTTTATTAGTTAAGTGTGAATCAAATATTATTGTGAATTAATGATATTTAACAATATTAGTTAAATGGAAATTAACTAATTAATAAGTTAAATTAGTTAACTTTAGTATTGTGAATAAATGCCATTAACGTAACAACTTTAATTAGTATTATAAGTTAGTTAACTATTTATTGTGTACTATTAGATTTTCATAATTTTAGTATTGTGAATAAATGCCATTAACGTAATAATTTAGTGTGTTTGGTGCACAAATTCTAATATTGTGAATTAGTTAATAATTGAAACGATTAATGCCATTAACATATTACTATTAGTTAATTAGTAATTTTGATTGAACGTTAGTTAATTTTAGTGAACTTTATTTAGTGAAATTTAATATATTAATGTTACCGGCTAGTGAACTTTAGTTAATTAGTAAATTATTAATTCCAGCCATTAACATATTGATTTTAGTTAATTATTAATATTAATAGTGAACTTGAGTGAAATTTAACATATTAATGTTTCTAAATATGAATTAGTCATGATTGAATAGTTAGTTAATTCAAATTATTAATGCCACAAATGTACTGCTTTTAGTTAATTAATAATATTAATTGAACGTTACTTAATGTACTTATATAATATTTTGATTATAATATACAGACATAATGTATAGACAAAACAGAAGTTGGATGTACCAAAAACATCGCGATAACTATGGAATACACAGTGAATTTTTTAATGGTGTTGAAGATTTTATTAAATTTGCACAAGAACGGAAGAATTACATGGATCGCGATAAAATCAGATGTC